GTGCGCACGCTGTTGACCCGGCTGAAGTGACCGTCGGCGCGGATGCTGGAAAAACAGTTGGATGTGAAACCCGGTGTAGCCTTTAGTCAAGTAAACGTTTATTTAAAATGCGAAAACACGAGAGGCTTCTTGGGTTTCGTGTAAGTTTCAACGCCGATAAGAGCCGAAAGAGTGTTTCCACTCGAGATGCGGTCGAGCGTTGTGAGCAGTGGAGAGGGTGAAGCGAGAGAGAAGTGTTGCGAGCGGGCGGAGAAGCAACATTACCTAAGTGTGTTGGGAGGAGCCGGCAGCTGCTGCGGGTGAGGGAGAGAGTGACGTCGACCCACACTGAGACTTGACCTACTTGGCATCATTTCAACAACTGCGGCGGGGGGAACGCGGTGCGGTGCATTGGCACGGAAACACGGACGGTCAGCATTACACAGGCTATTCAAATAACTGCTTCGCACCTAAAACGTTTTTAGGTCAAATTTGAGAATTTTTATTTAAGAAATCTACACTGTGCAGGGAATCGAAATATAATTGAACGTAAGTGCAAGTACACCTATATATAGATAAAGAAATTTTAGGTCATCATCATCATCAGCAGCAGCCTGACTACGTCCACTGCAGGACAAAGGCCTCTCCCATGTTCCGCCAGTTAACCCGGTCCTGTGCTTGCTGCTGCCAATTTATACCCGCAAACTTCTTAATCTCATCTGCCCACCTAACCTCGTCTCCCCCTAACCCGCTTCCCTTCTCTGGGAATCCAGTTAGTTACCCTTAATGACCAGCGGTTATCCTGTCTACGCGCTACATGCCCGGCCCATGTCCATTTCCTCTTCTTTATTTCAACTATGGTATCCTTAACCCCCGTTTGTCCCCTAATCCACTCTGCTCTCTTCTTGTCTCTTAAGGTTACACCTACCATTTTTCTTTCCATTGCTCGCTGCGTCGTCCTCAATTTAAGCTGAACCCTCTTTGTAAGTCTCTCAGGTTTCTGCTCCGTAGCTAAGTACCGGCAAGATACAGCTGTTATATACCTTCCTCTTCAGGGATAGTGGCGATCTACCTGTCATAATTTGAGAGTGCTTGCCGAATGTGCTCCACCCTATTCTTATTCTTCTAGTTACTTCAATCTCGTGGTTCGGCTGTGCGGTTATTACCTCCCCTAAGTAGACATAGTCTTTTACAACTTCAAGCGCACTATTACCTATCTCGAAGCGCTGCTCCTTTCCGAGGTTGTTGTACATTACTTTCGTTTTCTGCAGATTAATTTTAAGACCCACCTTTCTGCTCTCCTTGTCTAACTCCGTAATCATGAGTTGCAATTCGTCCCATGAGGTACTCAGCAATGCAATGTCATTGGCGAAGTGCAGGTTACTAAGGTATCCTCCAATAACTCTTATTCCTAACTGTTCCCATTCTAGGCTTCTGAAAACCTCCTGTAAGCACGCGGTAAATAGCATTGGGGAGATTGTGTCCCCCTGCCTTACACCCTTCTTGATTGGTATTCTGTTGCTTTCTTTATGAAGCACTATGGTAGCTGTTGATCCCCTGTAGATTTCTTCCAGAATGTTAATATATACTTCATCTACGCCCTGATTCCGCAGTGTCTGCATGACGGCTGATATTTCTACTGTATCAAACGCCTTCTCGTAATCTATGAAGGCTATGTATAGTGGTTGGTTATACTCTGAGGATTTCTCTATTACCTGGTTGATAGTATGAATGTGGTCAATTGTTGAGTAGCCTGTTCGAAATCCTGCTTGTTCCTTTGGCTGATTGAATTCTAATGTTTTTTTTACTCTGTTAGAAATTACCTTGTAAATAGCTTTTATAGTACAGAGAGCAAGCTGATCGGCCTGTAATTCTTCAAGTCCTTGTCATATCTTTTCTTGTGTATTAAGATGATGTTAGCGTTCTTCCAAGACACTGGTACTCTTCCCGTCAGGAGACACCTCGTAAACAGGGTGGCTAGTTTTTCTAACACAATCTGTCCTCCACCTTTCAGCAGATCTGATGTTACCTGATCCTCACCAGCAGCTTTGCCTCTTTGCGTGCTCTCCAAAGCTTTTCTGACTTCTTCTATCATTTCTGGTGGGGTGTGATCTGGGTTACTGCTAGTTCTCATAGTATTAAGGTCGTGGTTGTCTCGGCTACTGTACAGATCTCTGTAAAACTCCTCCGCTATTTTAACTATCCTATCAATATTGGTAGTTATTTTGCCCTCTTTGTCCCTTAGTGCATACATCCGACTTTTGCCTATCCCAAGTTTCCTCTTCACTGCTTTGACGCTTTCTCCGTTTCTCAGAGCGTGTTCAATTCTCTCCATGTTATACCTTCTTACATCGCATAACTTACGTCTATTAATCAACTTCGAAAGCTCTGCCAGTTCTATTTTGTCTGTTGTACTTGACACTTTCATGATTTCACGCTTCTTAATTAAGTTCTTCGTTTCCTGGGAAAGTTTGCCAGTGTCCTGTCTAACTACCCTGCCTCCAACTTTCACTGCACGCTCCGTAATGATACTCGTCAGATTATCATTCATTGTATCTACGCTAAGGTTGGTTTCCTCACTAAGAGCCGAGTACCTGTTCTGCAGCGACACTCTGAGTTCCTGTACTTTCCCTCTCAGTGCTAGCTCATTGACTGGCTTCTTGCATATCAGTTTCTGTCGTTCCTTCTTCAAGTCTAGGCGAATTCGAGACTGTACCATTCTATGGTCACTGCATCGTACCTTGCCAACCACTTCCACATCCTGCACGATTCCTGGGTGTGCACTCATTATAAAGTCTATTTCGTTCTTATTTTCGCCATTAGGGCTCCTCCATGTCCACTTGCGGTTTTCTCGTTTTCGGTAGAAGGTATTCAAAATCCGTAAATTATTGCGTTCTGTGAATTCTACTAGTAGCTCTCCTCTGGCGTTTCTAGTACCGATGCCATAATCTCCTACTGCTTGGTCTCCAGCCTGCTTCTTCCCTACCTTTGCATTAAGGTCGCCCATCACTATAGTATACTGTGTTTTTACCTTACTCATTGCCGATTCCACGTCTTCATAGAAGCTTTCAACTGAAGCGTCATCATGGCTGGATGTAGGCGCGTAAGCCTGTACTACCTTCATCTTGTATCTTTTATTCAGTTTAATTACGATACCTACCACCCTTTCATTAATGCTATAGTATTCCTCTATGTTGCAAGCTATGTTTCTGTGAATTAGGAACCCCACTCCCAGTTCTCTTCTGTCTGCCAAGCCCCGATAGCAAAGGACGTGCCCATCCTGTAGCTCCGTATAGGCCTCATCTGTCCTCCTAACCTCACTGAGCCCTATTATATCCCATTTAACACCCTCTAGCTCCTCGAATAGTACAGCTAGACTTCCCTCACTAGATAAGGTTCTAGCGTTAAACCTTGCCAAGTTCAGGTTCCAATGGCGGCCTGTCCGGATCCAGAGATTCTTAGCACCCTCTGCTGCGTTGCAGATCTGACCGCCACCGTGGTCAGTTGCTTCGCAGCTGCTGGGGACTGAGGACCGTGAGTTATTTGACGTATGCATGGGGGAGGTAGTGGCCAGATACTGGGCCAGGGTGACCAATCCTTCTCTGGTGAGGGAGTGTGTTCCCGGCGGTGGTTACCGGCACCGGGATTTGAACCACGGACCTCTTGCATGCAAGGCGGATGCTCTAATCACTACGCCATTGGCGCACAAATTTTAGGTATGTAGCTTTAATATATTTTGTGTAATTCATTGCCAAATTTGAAAAAACAGCAGAGCAGGTAAGCGCGGCACTCCACCTTTTCGTCATTAGTGATTTACTGTGCTTCAAAAAAATTTTTTTACAGTAAAACCAATTGCGGATATCTTCTTTCCACTCATCGAGCAACAATATATAAAATTTTAAAAGAAATTCAAGAGGTTGACCAGCCATGCTTTGTTCGATCTTATGTGGAATCAACCAGTAGCTTCTGCACAGAACCAACACCGTGCATTTCTAAAAACTTGGAAAAGGTGGGAGCAGGAGGGTGAGAAACAGAAAAATAAATGTTGCATTTAGTAGGAGGTCTAAATGATCACAAAAAAAGGAAAAGAAACTAGAAATTGCTGTTAAGGATTTGTTAGCTATAGCAGACTCATATGCAGAAAAGGCAGAGAAGATTAGCGACTTGACGTGCATCATCAAGTCAAACAACCTTAAAAAAAAAACTGCCAAGACCAAGCAGCAGGGGATAGTGGATATTGACATGAAAATTCAGAAAAAGCAACAAGGCATTGCTTAATAACTGTTCCTTAGTTTTTCCTATATGAATTAAAGTTTTGAACTTGTGTTATACTTGTGTGATACTGTCATAAGTGATCACATGCAAGTTTAAGAAACTATGATTGAAAGTTGTCTAGAAATAAAATGTCATTGGAGCCATGTTTTTGACGTCTGTTTCAGTAGTGTTGCCCTCTTTCGATGGTTTCTCATTATTTCAAGCATTTTCTCTCCCCTGAACACATGATAATTGGGTTTCTAACAGACAGTGTGGTCCTTAAAAATTTGCACACACAGCATTTTGAAAGTCTTTGAAAATTCTTGGATTTTTGTCATGTAAACGAGCATGAACCCCGGTGTTGCCACAAGGGCAACAATTAAACCCCAGTCTTCAGTATACAAGACATGGTTCTCCCATGAAGACCATTGTACTTACCGTCTCCGTAATTTCTTTGCATGCTTTTCAGAGGCCACTTAACTAGAAAAGAACATTTAAAAATTTGTGTTCATCCTTGCTAGATGAAAAGGGATAAGAGCTTCCTTGTGCTTTTTTCAAACTAACACGTTGCAGGACCATGTTTCTGTTCACTCCGTTCACCTGTCTGAGAGACCTTCCCTTGTGGCTTTTATTCAGAAATTCAAGTTCTTCAATTGCAAAAGTTTCATTTGTGGAAATTCATTTTATTGATGCTATATACAAACCTCATAATTTTTGCAGGGCTATTGTTGTATGTGCGTAGTTTGAAAGCTTGATTCTTTTCACAGGGAAGTCCTGGAGCATCTGGTGCAAGCAGTAGTGGATCACCTGAACATGCACAGACAGCCCCTGCACAGCTTGAGTTGGACAAGCAAATGCTAGTGGAACGCATTGTACGGCTACAGAAGACCCTTGCACGGCGCAATGACAAGATTGACTTCCTTGAGGAACACATCAAGCAGCTGCTGCTTGAAATGAAAAAGAAATCCAAGTATGCATAGTGTCTGAATTACTTTTGTCATTAATTGTTTCAAGGTGCCCACAAACACTTTTTACATATGCTCAGAAAAAGCTGCCAATTGTAAGCTGAGGCTCCTGCAAAGATGTTAGCCAGACATTATAGCGCAGCACGCAGTGTGTAATTTACAATTAAGCTTCAAAGTCGGCTAAAAATTGCTTGCTCTTCTCTTGACGATTTATTTGGCTTGTAATATCAATTCGACTTAGGCATAGGCTGATCTGAGCATCATGAGCTGCATAGCTGTGCAACCCAGCTGCTGTGGAGCGCTGTTACGTGCCCACACTGCACTCTGTTGTGCTAGAATTACGCATAATATAGAAAACTACACCAGCGCGATCGTGATCACACTGAAAGTGAGGTGCGTATTCATAGAAAAAAAAAAAAAGAATATGTGCTCAAGGTCATGATGTGCACTGCTGTACAAATGCAGCTTCTAGCCCTCATGTCATCCCCTCTTGCTTATCTTTCAGCGTGCTCACTGGAACAATAGAAGAGAGAAAACGCTTGAATCGAGCGACAAATCTCTGTAACTCGGCTCAAACTTGACATATTCTAAAAAGTTCTTGAGGCAGATGATCGGTTTGGCAGTATATGCCTAGAGTGAGGCCACTCGATGATTACTTGGAAAAGTGCTGCAGGACCCTTTTTAAAAACAAGTAGCTAATAAATTATTTTTCTAATGAAACCCAAGTGACAAACAAGCAACTTGAACAAACAAGTGACTACATGCACGACTTCATGGAAGCTGCATGGATAGTCTGCCTCATGACGCATGCAAAATTGTGTGATAAGCTCGACTAAAGCCCCTTCATAAGGGTGTCACCACTGGTTTGTAGAAAAGCTTGTATTGGGACTGTTAAATTGATTGTCCCGAGTGTGTCAGCGAACGTTAATTGCTGCATGTGCCCTCACTCATGCTCTGTGTCACGCAGCACATGCATGCTCTGCTGTGCCACGAGTGAAAAGATACAATGCTGCATTGAAAAAGCTCAAACTAATGCAAGACGAGAACACTCTTATCTTATCGTAAGATGCCCCAGATGAGCAGTAACGCTCAAGTAAAGCAATATCAACACAGTTCTCTAAGTACCTGAGCTTATGAAATCTGTGTGCAGTGGCCTGTAAGTGACCGTCAGTCAAAAAACTGTCTGTTGAAAGTCAAGTTTATATACCCGCCTTTCCTCTTTGTCACTTTTTTAAAATTTCAACTGCCCAAGGCAGCTGCCATAAAGCGTGCACCACTGACAATACTGAGCTCGAGAATTCAGCGGAACATTCCCTTCCCATTGTCTGCATCTGTGCCAAAACTTGTCACCATTTCTGTAACTCTGAGTGTTCCGTTTCTCGTTTCGTTTTTTAAAGGATAATCCAGAATTATATAACAAGAGAAGAATCTGGTGCATTGGTTCCCACCAGCATGGACTGCAATAAGGTGTGTACTGAAAAGTGTTGTCAGTGTCTTGTAATTCTACTTGCCATAGCATGCAATAAATTTCCCTCATTGGTCCTGTCTATATTTCCAAGCAGCTGTTGGGAAAAAAGCAAAAGGTAACTGAAATCATCCTTGAAGTGCGGTGCAAGAGCTGTAGCCTTTCTTCTCTATTTGTATTCGCAGGCTGAGATCTCCAAGAAAGGGGGCATTATGGCGTCAGTGTACAATAGCCATGCCGTTGACACAACTATGACATTGGAGCTGTCCCTTGAAATCAACCAAAAGCTTCAGGCAGTCCTTGAAGATACATTACTGAAAAACATCACCCTTAAGGTGAGTTGAGCCAGTGTACTATATATATATATATACATATACAACAAACACAGTAAGTGGCACCACTGGAACCTCATTATAGTACATTACCACTTAAGCTATGAGTTGAGTCAGCGTACTATATATATATATACATATGCAACAAACTCACTAAGTGCCACCCCTGGAACCCCATTATAGTACATTACCACTTAAGCTATAGTGATGCTTTGTACGTAGTTGTAGGAACTTCAGAAGCAACTCATTAAACTGAATGCATATACAGTTCCCTAACTAATGTTAGCCAAGTAGACTAAACAAACGTAAACTAAAACCGATGTTGTACTATTAAGTAGAAGCCATCAGCATGGACAACACTTTGCTTCTCCAGGCAATACAGGTCCCTAGTTCTATTGTTTTAGCACTGTTAGTGCTTTACAGCGATATTACTTGAATCTTCAATCTTTCACAGGCAGTTCATAGTATATACCTATAAAAGGTGTCCACTGGAGCACAGCACTGAAGTGCTGCGTAGTGAAAGCATTACAAAGAGTGCCCTTGTTTTGTTTCTGTATGAATTGCCAGCAAACCATGCTTTGCAATCTCATTAGGCCTTATTTTTAGTCAGAATGCCACCCTACAAAAATGAAAACGTTGTATGATTCGATATGCTATTTTTTACAACCTAGTCACAATTCTGTCACAATATTCCTCTTTTATTTGTTCCCACAGTATTTTATCATTTAGTATATGCACCTATAAAGCTTGTATTTTATATATGAATATGTATTAGTCAGAAACGAATTAGTAAAGAAAAAAATATTGAAAGCTGAGTACTTTCGGTTTTTTGATGACCAAAAAGAATGTGGAACAAAAATTATCTATAAAAGTCATGAAAGATTATGGTGTCTTCAGGTTAGAAAGGTAAATGTTTTGCCAGTAAGTGTCTGAGCCCCCCTCCCCTCTTTTTTCCCCCAGAAAATATCTTTTCAATAATTACTTCTCTCAACTAGGATCCTTTATGCACTTGCATATATTACCTTGAAAAAAGGTTTTCTAAAGACTATAGTCTTTCTTGGGGTACTTGGACACAAAAACTTTGGTCTGTCTGTCTGTCCGTCTGAATGATACCCGAAACGGTTAAAGTCCAACCACATTTGCTATGCCTAGCAATATTGCTCTGGTTTCTGTGTTCATACTTGTGTGATTGTCAAATAAAAAAAAAATGTTGCACATATCTTAGGCACAGTATCAATATGCCAATACTACCTTGTGTGTTTTTTTATACTAGAGAAAGCATACGTAAGTAACTCTAAGGACCGTAGCGTTTATCAAGCTCGCTGACAATGCAACGCTATGCACGAAAAGGCAAGTGTTTCCTACGCTTTGCTAAGACGACACAGTGATGGAACTTACCCGTCACCTTGCATTCTACACATTATGGCCTCCAAGACGGGCGTGCACATCGCACTTGCCATATCAGTGGCCATGCTTTCATTTTTGATGGTAACTGCCAGATGGCGCTCATGTGTCACTTCGTAGTGCCTCGATGCGCTCATTCACCTCTGCTGCATGCATCGAGGCACTGCCTCCAGAATCCCATTCACCGATTGTCTCATGCAGAACATTAAATAAAGGTTTTGTTCACTCTCTCCAGATGCAAGACTATCATCTTTCAACGACATTTGCACAGAAACATGCAGATATGAGGCCAATATTTTTTCACGTAAACACTGCAATGACAAAATTTAAGGCATGAAAGCTGCTCGTTTTGGCAGCTTGCATGCTTTTTAATGCACGCTTCAGAAGAATATTTTTTAACCCCTGTGAAAACTTAAGGGAAAATATGTCGCTATAGACTTGGACAACTTACATACTCATGTGCAGCATTACTTGCAGTGTTAGACCTCTTATTCAAGATTGCTGTTAAATTTATGTGAAAATTCTTGCATATATATTTACCATTAAGAATGCTGTTTCAAATGGCTGCCTTCATGCATTTATGTATCATTTTTCTGTTGGCACAATTTTACAGGAAAATATCAACACACTTGGTGAGGAGATAGCAAGGCTAAGCAAGGACTACCGCCTTGTTGATGCAACGCAGTGCCGGCTGAAATGAAAGAAGTGATTGTATGTTTTAGTTGCGGCACCTGCTGACTACCTCACGCCAAAATGAGGCTGTGGGAATCGGCCCTTTTATACATAGTCTAGTTTGGCAGTGTCTTTTTCCACTCTGACACCTTGCAAAATTGTGGCTAAGAATGCAAACCAGGCCTCTGAGCTTTATTGTGCAGTAGGATGTGAATTTTCAGGCATTGAGTTGGCTGTACTGCCGTTCTATTTTGTTGTCAACTTTCACTGTACATTGTCACATCTTTGTGCCACGTGCCTTGGTAGAATGTGTTAATGAGGCACGAACAGGCCAGCTTGCGCAGAACTCCATTGCACCCATGTTACACACCATCATCATTCAATAACTGTTCTTGTGTGTAGCTTAGTCAATCGAATCTGGTGTTCACCTTTTTCACCTGTATTGTGCATGCTGACGGTTGATTTGTGCTTTTCTCCCATTGAGAAGGAACATGTTTCTGTGTCCACCATTGAATTGCAACTGTTATGAACACTTATGTTCAGAACATCTTGGCTGTTGTAGTGCTGAGTTTGAACAGGACTGTTCTTTATATTTGGTTTGGTTGGAATGGCCCCTGCTGTCTTTATTCTGTGCAAATTAGGTACTCTTTGTTGGACTTCTATTAAGCAGCTTCGCACATTTTCGAGAATGTGTTTTTCAAAGCATCTATATCCCCCTTTTGACACTGTTAGCGCTATGCTGCACACCTATATCGTTGCATGATCGCTTACTAGTTTTTATATATGTATACTAAGTAACTGATATATATATATATATATATATATATATATATATATATATATATATATATATATATATATATATATATATATATATATATATATATGTGTGTGTGTGTGTGTGTGTGTGTGTGTGTGTGTGTGTGTGTGTGTGTGTGTGTGTGTGTGCATGTGCATGTGCATGTGTGTGTATATATAAATATGTATAGAAAATATAGCATACTTTATTAAGCAAATTATTGAAATCAAGATAATGAGAGTGTATGACAGGGAAAGGACATATGAATTCTGTAAATGGTGTTTGTTGTGCCATCTAGTAAATATAGACTTGATCCATGTGTAAAAATACGCTTTCATATTAAGATTGTGTTGTCTGCTGCTTACTTGCTTAAATTCTTAATAATCTTACGGCATTTCTCTCTCATGCACTTACAAATGACAAAGTTGTGAACAGCTATATGAAGGATACCTGCTCATCAACCATCCTGCCTACAACATTATCCAAACTCATTATTGTAGAACAATTTGGCTGTTATCGCTGCATTTCTTCATTCCACAACTTTTCTGTTAATCACTGGTTTTTTTTTTTTGATACTACTGGCAGAATATGAAAGAGTATGACATTTTTTGCAGTCTTTAAGCACTGGGACTACACGCTTGTGTCTTTTGTTATGCAGAAACCTGTGTGTTGGCCTGGTAGCTGTCTGCTTAATTCTGGATGCTGCTCACTAATTTTCTGTAATATTTTCTCGGGGCACTTGTCAGCTATTATATTTGATGTGTTCGCACTTAGTTGGGCTGGTTAGTTTCTGTACTTCACATTATAGAAATAAATGGAGTTCTAAGTGTGTCGAGCGTAATATGAAACAGTGGCTCAAACTTATTATCTTGAGAAATTCTTCTTAGAAAGAAATTAGATGCTCAGACATGCACAAAAGAAAAAGAAACCAGACAGTGCAAACATTTTGTATTACATGTGTCCATGTATGTATGCCTAAGTTGTTTTTCTATGAATAATCTCTAGTAACTAGCTCTAATTTTTGTTATTCTATCCCTTGAACATCAAGCTCTGTCGTTATGACTGCTTGTACTTAGCAAGTCACTACAGCCATATGAACACTGCTAGGTGTGCTATCAGATTGGCTTCAAAAGAGGTAGGCTGATTGCATATTTTAATTATAAAGTTCTTGGTTGCATGTTAAATGCCAAACTATTGCTGAGTCAAATGCTATGTGTTATGTACTACATCACACATATTGTGGAAAATGTATCATTCCACTTGTCGTACATAAAGCAGTTAAACTTTAAAACAGGCACTCTTGCATGGTATCATTGAGTGAACTGTTTCAACTTGTGTATGGGCACATTTGTGTGTTTTTTTTTTTAGCCCTGACCATATTGTGTAATGTGATTGTTCTGTGTTGAGTGTGTCAGACTGAATAATGCTACATACAATCTTTTTTCCATCTCCAGCTGCAGCAGCGCGTGGTGGCAATTTTTCTCAATGAGTACGAAGTGGCTTATAAGTATAGGGCTTTAGCTGTTGAGGAAAATCTATCTTTCCAACCACAGCATCAAACTGGTGCAGTAACAGCATGAAAGGTCTCAAACTTAAGTCTCAAGTAAGTCTCTTTGCCAAGAACATGGGCTTCATTTGCTTTTAAAAATTGAGGCCGAGGCTTTATAATCATGTACCTCTGTTGCCACACGTGGATATTAGACCATAGAAAACTACCTATGCGCTTCCATAAATAACTTTTTCAAGGTGAACAAAGAATGGCTGTTGTGTCACTGTTGTCAAGATAACCCAGGAAAATTTTAATTCCGTCGCAACTTGTGAGAGTTCTAAAAAAATAAAAAAATTGAGCCCCAAAAAGATGAGGTAAGACATTAAGAAAATATGTGATTATATTAATATTTTTCAGTTTCATTCCTCTTTAAGAATGGTAAAAAAAAACACATGTTGCCAGTTTACATATTACACACACCACATGCCGGGTGTTTCAAAAAAATGTCACCGAAATCCTCAAAAATCATGGAAATGCTAAGCAGTACTCTCATTAAACGGAACCTGAAGGGTCTGGAGAAATATGTTTCGTTTAACAGGAGTTGCATTTACTGAGAAATTAACTCGGGTGCAGTATACAGTGATGAAACCAATAATATCAGAGGAGACTGTTCTATTTAAGCAATACAGTTAAACCCCTTTATAAAAGACATACTTTAGGCAGCAATTCTTGTAAGCAGGGTACCTCGCATGTATTTCGTAACCTGTATTTTACCATAGACACTTTGGTGTCTCTTATACCCATTTGTCTCCTATATTAGTGTCTCTTATCAAGAGTTTCGACTATTAGTGTTTCTTATAAAGGGGTTTGACTGCACTGAGAGTCTACTGTATTTGTTAGATGCCTTCACAATCGCTTCTTCTGGGACCGCAAGCATCTTAAGATGTCTAAAGACATCATTTGGTACTGTAACTAAGAAGTCTAAATTGGTATTTTAATTAGTAGAGCCAGGTGGCTATGTCAAGTGCAAGAACCGAAATCCTTCATGTGGGAAACCCATTGCAGCTTCAAGTGTGTGAGTGATTAATAAAATTTCGTGAAAAGAAGATAAAAAAATTTGAAGGGCACTTCGTACATTCCAAAGTTCGTTTGCCGAACGCCTGTGCCCATCGAAACGGGGTCGGTCATAATAGAACGTGATGTGCACGTCTCCCTTCTAGCATGATTCCACGAACTGGGCACAGCAACGCTATGCAAGCAAAGCGTGACTGTTGTAGACTCTGACGTGACCAGCGTCCATTGGTGCTCCCTGGCAGCCACCTGTGCCAGGGCACAGACGAGCAAACAGACATGAGCATTAGACATTAAAGGATTTCGCCTCAAAAGTCCTCCCTACAACTGTCTCTCACAGGGGAAGACACCTCAGCAGTGGTGCACAGAAGGGATAAGGAAGGATTCAAAGAATAAAATAGAAAAGACTGAGAATGGTTAGAGGGGATTGCTGATAGAGCATCAGCTCCTCCGGGTGAGACTTTGCAGCTTTGAGATTTTGGAAAAGCAGGCTTTGGTAATAATTGCAAAGTAGTGAAATTCAGCGAAATTCGGCGGCAAAACCAAAATGCGGAATAGGGCAACCACTGTATTTTTTTTTTAGATGTCCATAATGAGTGAGCATCGTGATATCAACTATGACTTCATTGTGTGAATGTACAGGCTGTGCTTGCAATTGTAGCATGGATGGCATATGTACAGTAACAAACACGGAAAAACTACAGCTCTGTAATTGTTGCTTTGAACAGTGACATCATTCTGGCTGTCTACTGCTGCACTCATCAGTGATTGGTTATTTGCCATTAAGTCAGGTTGAATTACATTATGCCGCGATAATTATTAGAAGCCATTTTTTTTATCGCAAAGCTGCCATGGGTTCTTCACATGAACTTCAACTCACCCATTTAACATAATTGCCTAACTTCACTATTTAATATAGTTTTCATAACTACAGTCCCAAATTATGTATTAAAATGCCTGCTGCTTGAGAAAAAGCAGTTGTGAAGGCAGCGTGAAAATATCCTATTTTCCTAATTTTTGAGGATTTTTCACACAGTTCTTGAAACACCCTATATATGTGTGTGTTTGAGGGAGAGTAGGGTTTTTCAGTAAGTATATCATTAGGAATATGAAGTTTCACAATCGTGGAGTAATCTTTTATAGACTATTTCACCTAAGACATGAGGGCGCTGCCATCTTGGGCTTTTAAGCTGATGTTTTTTTGTTTGTTTGTTTTTGTATATTGCGATGTGGATTCACAAGGCCACGAAACGTCGTATGCACCAAGCCTACCGTTTTCGTGCGTATGCATCAACCGCAACACTGTTCATTTTGCTGTTAAGGAAAGATGCAGTTCAAAAAATAAGTTTCGTTAATCTGTAGCCTAGGGCAATAAAAAAATGTTTGCTCTACGTATAGCGTTTTATGCTGATTTCAAATATGTAATTAGTGTTATACCAAGTTGTGCAGTTTTCATTTTGTGTCACAACAATCTGTAACTACAGTCTGTTTTGGACTAACTTTTTTATGCCACTACACCTTTATGGTTCTGAGTCATTAATAGCTCATATTGTGCCACATTGAATGTAGAATGCAAGTAATCATCAAAAAATGCAAATAAGATATTTTAATGGACAAAAAAAATTTTAATGCGAGGATTCTTAGAATCCTCAGCCCATACTAATTGCTTACTTTAAGTTCGTAATGATTATACAGGCGATATAAAATTAGGACCTCAAGGAAAGCCCATTAAAAAGCATAACATAATAAGCAGGAAAATACTGTGTGTTTAAAACAACCTAATTTAGCTGCGTCTAGCATTTCATTCTTTAAGGCGCTCATAAAAATATTAAAGGGCGTTGAAAACGTTCCTGATTATACAGGCGATATAAAATTTTGAACAAGATGGGCTATCAGTAGTACCAAAAACATGATGTCTATACTCAAGGAGTTGCCCAAAAATGGATCATGAGAAAATCTATCTTAAAAGGTATATAAGTGCAAGCTCATCTATGCGGAAAAGGTAGGTTTTTGAAAGGAGTACTGACACGAATTTTAAAAATTTTTGGATTGTTGCTCAAAATAAAAATACTGGTGTCGAGAAACCCAAAATGGGTATTGTGCTTGAGAGCGCATCGAATATATATTTTATTGCCGCTACCTTAAAAAGACACTTTCAGTTTCGTTATCGAGATGGTGGCTTCTCAGTAACATGTCATAGCAGTATGACCTCGTGGGAAAACGGTAACTGGTGACGTACTACGGGCAAATCTGCTATCTGCTCGTGATGCATGTAAAAAACAAGTGAATTGTCGTCCAGTCACCCTGACAGTGATTTCTGCTATTTTGGGTGTGCGCAGGATGTAGAGCTGGCTTGCAGAGGTGGTCAGTGACGAAAACATTAAAATAAAGATAAGATGTTTTATACGTGTTGCCCGACACCAGTGTGCAGAGAGTGTTTAT